GCTGCAGCAGGTGTCTACCCACGGTCTGCACCATTCAGCTCCGGGGAGGACAGATGGTCACTCTCAAGGTAGGAGGAAGTGCGTTTTAGGGGTCTTCTCTCCGACCATTGCTTGCTTTCCTATTTTGGGTTATTTTCTTCAAGAAAGAGAGTGACCAAGTTTGGGTCAATATGAATTTCTTTTTGATTTTGGAAAGAAAAGATGGGTAATTATGCGGATTGAATTCTTGGTAGGCTGCCAACCCCGTATCACGTTGGCTTGCAACACCGTCCGTGGGAGGGGGGTGGGTGCACACTGCTACAGATATGCCATCATACCACCCCCACCAGGGCTCCAGCAAGCCTCCCCCACTGTCCACTGGGCCCCCACCTTCCCGCTCAGCTCCCCTCTCCCTATTCAGGTCGCCTCAGTTCCGCTGTCAGATTTCTGGGGTTTGTTTTTGTCTACTCCTTTGCTTTGTTTTTTATATTCCACACATGAGCGAAATCATCCAGGAACTTTCTTCTTCCGATCACTGAGCAGAACCCCCTCCAGTTCCGTCCATGTATAAATGACAAGATTTCTGGTTTTGCTAGAGCTGGGTGGTCTTCCCTCCGTCTGTGCACCACATCGTCCTGACCCCCGCCTCTGTCCTTGGGCACCTAGGCTGTTTTCAGAGCCTGGTTATTATACACGTTGTTGCGATAAGCATAGAGCACCTCAGTCCATTATATTCACGTTTTTGCACAGAATTTTCACTCTTCTTGACAAGAGTATTGTATGGGTGGCCCCATACAATTTTCTCTGCCTTGATTTTCAATAAGGTTGAATAGGTCATCAGAGTCGATTCTGGTTGATGGAAGCCAGAGTCACCTGAGGGTCTGGGCAGCCTTATCTTGGGTCTCTAGTTACCGATCAGCCAGTTTATCCTTCCTGTGTCTTAGATCTTTAAACTGCTGGGTGATCAGAGGATTTGGGGGGTTAGTGACCTTTATGCAGCCCTACTTCAAGTAAATAAGTTATAAAAGTGGGGTTCCATCTCTATTCTGTCTATTCTGAGTCCTGCTATAAAGACATATACATATACATATTCTGCTTCCATATAACATCTTTTTTTCTTTTTGTATAGTAGCAGAACTGGGGTGTAGGCCAGAGGTGCAGGAGGGTGAGAGGATTCCCCAGACACAGAGTGGGGATCAGAACACTACTGAAATGCACTGCTGAGGGGAGCAGCGGGAGAGACAGGTCAGCTTCCTGGCTGGGGATCAAACTCCTGCAGGCCATAGTGGTGATGGTGCTGAGACTCATCCCCAGGCCATGAGGGATGCCCCAAAGTCTCTTTCCTGTTCCACGATCTTCCAACTTGAACAACTCCGCAGAGTCGGGACCGTGGTTTGAAGTGACGCAGTAATGCACCAGTCCCACTGATGCCCCACTCACCTCTCTTCCCTTTCAGCCTGACGAGACCCTCCAGGATGGCTGTGACAACCACTTCTGCAAAGTCAACGAGAGAGGAGAGTACATCTGGGAGAAGAGGGTCACGGGCTGCCCGCCCTTTGATGAGCACAAATGTCTGGCGGAGGGAGTGAGTAGTCGGCACTGGGGCCCTGTGCCCCTCTGTCTCCTCTCCCGAGCGGAGCTTAGTCTCCTGCATGGTCTGTCGTCTAGTTGTGCTGCCCTGTGCACGCTCAGATCTAGTTAAAAATCTCCAGAACTGTAAAAACCAAAGCCTGATGAAGTACTGTGCAATGCTTAAGGAAACTCTTTCCCTTGCGGGGACTGAATCTGTGACCCTTGAATGAGAAGGGGTGAGGTCAAACTGGATTCCGGTCTCCCCGGTAATTCTGATGACTGTTGGAACAGCGTCGGGTTGATCAGAATTGTTCCCTCGTGGCCAGGTGGGGAGGCCACTCAGCTCCCATGTGTGATGGCACAGCACAGCCTCTGTTGGGTGGGGGTGGAGCAGGGGCACTGTGAGCCAGAGCCCGGAACTACCAGGAGTGACCTGCAACTGGCCGCTTCATGCTCCTTGGGCCTAATCTGGGACTTTGCTGTTTTTTTTTTTTAGGGGAAAATCATGAAAATTCCAGGCACCTGCTGTGACACGTGTAAGTTATTACCAGGAGCTCATTCATTGAAACCCATCAGACCAAGTCTGGGGACTGGTTTTGGAGGAAGCTTCATTTCAGAGACTTCTCCATCACTGACCTGCCACCAAGCTCGCTGGGAACTGCCCTTTCCCCACCCCTGGCTTCCACTGACCTTGTAGCCAGGTCCATTCGTTGGTCCCAGAAGCTCACAGCAGCAGCTTAGCAGCTTAGCTCAATGAGTGTGCACGTCCAAAGGTATCTCACCACACATTCCTGTCATGAACACCTGTGACGAGCAGAACCCCACCTTCAAGGCTGCGTGCTCCAGATATGGGTTCACTTGCCTGGGCTGATATTTTTGTGTTTAGATTTTATTTTTGGCGTTGGGTTCTCAGGCCATATTCATTGTGGGTAAAAAGGAGGAGTGAGGTCCTCCCTGGTGACCTAGGGGTTTAGTCTCAGCACTATCACCGTGGTGGCCTGAGTTCAATCCCCAGCCAGGGAGCTGACCCACATGGCACAGCAGACTTCTCCTGTCTCGCCTGCTGCTCCCCTCAGCAGTGGATTTCAGTAGATTTGCGTGTTCTGCTCCCCACTCTGTCTCTAGTGCATGTTCTCTCCCTCCTGCACCTCTGGCCTACAGCCCAGTTTTTT